AAAGAAGGGAATGGAGGAGACAGGATGGTGGTATGGCTGTACCCCGGAGGACTGATTTCTCCTTTCCTCTCTCTGTCTCTGTCTTTCTCCTGTGTCCTAAGGCCAAAACCTTTAAAAGGAAAAAAAAAAAAAAAATTAAAAAGGAGAGGAGGAAGAGAACATGTATAATTTGAGGTCCTGCCTCTGAGGTGTAGTCAGTAGTTTACCAGACTGTGGAGATGGAAGCCACATGCCAGCCATGGTTTGAGTTTCCAGCCCTCTTGACTTCAGACACTGAGGGTATATCTGTGTGTGTGTGTGTGTGTGTGTATGTGTCTTCAAGATCCTGGCAGATTGGTGGAAGGGGTGATTGCAGCGTGACTAAGCCCTACTGGGGTGAAGCATGCTTCATGGGGCTTGCCTACTGTCCCTCCCCACCCCTGTATGGGTGTACTATTTATTTACTATTATCAATAAATTTAAATTTTTTTAATCAATTCAAAAAGATAACTAAAAAAGTCCTAACTTGCAGAGACATAATAAGAGGCATATAAGGTGAGTAGCAGGTAATGATATCTGATAATGTTAGATATTTTATCTGTTCTTAATAATTTGGAAATAAAATGAGATTATAAAACTTCCCTTTAATAATCCAGTGATTATAAAATTTTAAGGAAGTCCAGGAAGGCTAACATCTTCCATGGTGATGATGGTTGTCATTAACATTCATCTTTGTAGCTCCAGTGCCTAACACTAAATTAGCTCTAAGCCAAATCTATTGGGCAGTCAAATTTAAAACTGCAAAGATTTAGTGTACATTATTTGGTAATTCTTAGTGTCATTTCATTCACAAAAGATTGTTCATCTTTTTTATCAAGTCTTCATGTATAATTTAGACCTAATTAAAATAAATAAATATTATAAATTTTTTTTCAAAATAATTACTTTTTAAATTTTATTTATTCTTTTTTTTTTTTTATTTGACCAGAGAAAGACAGAGAGAGAGAGAGTGAGAAAGCAAGCTGCCAGGTCTAGGACTTAAACCGTGGTCAGCCATGTGGGAATATCCAGTGCCTTAACCACCATGCAACCTGCTGGTCCCGAATATTATCAATTTTTAAGAATTCTACTAACCCGGGGTTGGCAGGTGGTTTGGTGGTTAGGGGCACTGGATTTCCACATGGCTGACCATGGTTTGAGTCCTGGACCTAGTGACTTGCTTTCTCACTTTCCCTCTCTCTGGTCAAATTAAAATAATAATAATAAATAAAGTTAAATGAAAAAATTATCTTAAAAAGATTTCTACTAAATGAGCATTTGAAGAAAAGAAAAGCTAATAAATAACACTTGGGAGAAATGTATGTGTGTATGTATCTCAGAGACGTGCAGGTAAATATCTTACAGGTCTTAGGTGGCATATGTTGAGATTTTGTCATAAGGGGTTTTAAGGAAAAAAAATTGTATACTAACTTAGTTTTATCTCTCAAGTTCTATGTCGATTGTTTTCTGTCAAAACTAAGTATCCGCTTAGATATTTACAATATGTGAAAATACCACTTGTGCTTAAAGGTAGTACCGTATGCCAGTAAACTTGGGCTGTGCTGTGTAGATTATAGAATTAATCTTTGTAAATCTTTTCAAATATTGGTGGAAGAAAAGCATTTATGGACTGTTTTAGATATTCAACTAGAAACAAAACTTAAGGGCATGTCTTGTATTATACTCTCTATCTGGGTTGTCCTAACTTTGTATTTTCTCCATGGAAGTGAGATAAGGAAGGCAGACATTGCCATTTTGCTGACAAGAAGACTGAAATGCAGAGTAGTTAAATGGCTTTTCCAAGGTAGAGATGAAGCCAAGATTAGAACCTAAGTGTATTATCCTTCATCCTGGTTTCTTTCTTCTAATTTATCCTGTCACTTTAATAGGGTTGTGGGGAGAGGTAGGGAGACAGAAAGAGTCTATAGTTTTCCTTTTTTTTTTTTTTTTTTTTTTTTTTTCAAAATTTCCACTAGATCATTGGTTAGTCCCAGTGGTTTTCTGCATGACTCAGTGTGTTTATTAATACATTTAATTTTATCACATTTTGTAAAAATCAGAAGCCTTTCATCAGATGCAGTTGATTATGCTTATTGGTGATGAGTAGGATTAGTAAGCAGCAGTAGAGTCATTAATGATATTTTTAAATCCTTGATTTAAATACTACTTGTTAGTTAACAGCAATTTTAAAATCTTTTATTTTTAATCGGTATATTGATTTTTCTGCCAAATTTTTTTTTGTGGCATTTGATAAGATTGACTGGACTATACTAGAGCCAATAATATAATAAGAAATGGTGACTATTCAAGTTAGACACTTATTTGGTGCTACAGACATGTGTTTTTTGTGTTTTTTTTTTTTTTTTTTTTTTTTGGAGAGGTTTTTGCTATAGGGTGCATGCGCTTGCCAGAAAGACAGAGACAGAGAGACAAAAAACAAGAAATCACCCCCTGAGGGGGTGGCCATACCGCAATCCCTTGTCTTCCATTCTCCTCTCGGGATCTTGGAGACACACGCACACACGCCCAGCACGAGTTTTAAGCCACCAGGTCCTGGACTTGAACTATGGTTGTATGGTTGACTATGTGAGAGTTCAGTGACATAGCCATTATGCCAACTGCTGGTCCCCAGACATGTTTCTTATACACTTGGGTTGTTGGAAAAGTCATGTTTTTTTCTGTGTAAAAATACATTATGACTTTTTCAACAACCCAGTAGATTCTGGACTTTCTCCTCATCTTTACCATCCTCCATCCCTGTATGGAATCAGGTATATTTCTAAGTGTTAGGTATACCTCATAAATACTATAATATTTCTCCTTAATTTAACAATACTAAAAATACTGCAAAACACTGCCCATCATTGAAATTACTGTTTGATTTATCAACAGATATTTGAGACTACTCTAAGTAAAGCATTTACTGTACATTAAATCCACAACAGAGTCTCTTTAGGATTTTTAAATGTGCCTTATTTTAAAAAAGGTGGGGGACAATGATAAAATTTCTTTGCCACTTAGTATCAGAAATACTCCATTAGTCTATTATTTATGATCATTGAAATTTTTATTCTATTGTTCTTTTCTACTACTAAAACACAGGTGAATCTGTACCAGAATACCAGATGGCTTTTCAGACAGAAGTTGGAAACCATCCCACTTTTGAGGATATGCAAGTTCTTGTGTCTAGAGAAAAACAGAGACCCAAGTTCCCAGAAGCTTGGAAAGAAAATAGCCTGGTAAGAGAAATACTAAATTATTTAGAGGACTTATGATTGAATATGTTTCAATCTTGTTGGATGAAGAAGACCGTTAATGGTATATAGTTTATAGAGTTGCCGAATGCCTGAAATTCAACTTACTTAATTTTTATGTTGCATGTTTTTCAACTTTTTGAGATAAAAAAGTCCTCTTTTTTAGTTCAGTTTCAGTTTTTTTCCAAGTATAAAATACTGTTTAAGTAGACTAATGTGTCTTAAGTTCACCAGATTGGATAGCAGCTGTAATAATTAACATATTAATATTTTAAACATCATTGGAATTCCATCTATCTTACTCTCTTGAGGATAATACCAAAAAAATGTTAATAAGCAGACATATAAGTTTAATGGCTAAAAAAATTTAGGCTAGACATACTAGAAATCAAGGTATAGATTATGGATTCTGCTTAGTAAAAATACAGTTCAGAAAAATGAAAAATTTTTAATTGTTGCTGTTTGAGTAAACTGTTGTTAACATTGTAAATACTGGGACCAGCAGGTGGCATGGTGGTTAAGGTGCTGGACACTCCCACATGGCTGACCACGGTTCGAATCCCGGACCTGGCAGCTTGCTTTCTCACTCTCTCTCTCTGTCTCTCTCTGGTCAAATGAAAATAAATGAATAAATAAATAAAATTAAATAAATAATTATTTTTAAAAATTGTTAACATCTAACAGACATTTACATACACACACACTCAAATTTTTTTACATTAGTAGGATCATCTGTCTACTGTCACTTCTAAAGTTCATTTTTAAAATATGGGCAATTCCTGATGTCAGTACCTATAGATATATCTCATTTTCTTCATTCAGTTAATACTCTAACGTATATTACAAATATTGTATCCTTTATTGATGAAAGTGCCCTGTATTTCTTTTTGAGCAGTGTTTTTAAAGAATTAAAGTTATGCCCATACATGGTAAATGAAACCAAATTAAATGAGAGGTCATAAAAAGGAAATGGAAAGGGAACAAACGACTATTATAACTTCAAATACATACCTATTCTTCCTTTCTTTCTTCTTTCTTTCTTTCTTTCTTTCTTTCTTTCTTTCTTTCTTTCTTTCTTTCTTTCTTTTTTCTTCTTCTTCTTCTTCTTTTTAAATTTGCTGTATGTGTGTGCTTGCTTGGGGCTGAAGGGGAGAGAGAGAAAGTGAGAAAGCACGCCTCCATGGGAATATATATAATATGCCATGCTATAATATCCTTTCCATTCTCCTGTCAGGGTTTTGGGCATGCACACATGCACTTGGCATGTTTTTCAAGCCTCCGGGTTAGGACTCCATAGTTGGCTATGTGGGATCCAGCAGCCTCAACTACCACACCACTGGGTTGCCCTGTCCTTCACCTCCAGGGACATGGCCATGCTGCAGTCCCTTCTCCTCTATTGTCCTCTCAGGATTTTGGGCACCCATGCACATGCACCTGGCATGATTCTTAAGCTGTTGGGTCCAGAACTCAAACCACTGTCCACCATGTGCCTTAACCAGCGTGCCACCTATGGGCCCCATTCTTTTTTTTTTTTTCTTTAACTTTTCTGATTTAGGTATATGATTTATTTATTTATTTTTTACATCAGGTGGGTACAGTACCAACGTCTCATAACAAGGTTTGAGGGAGACACGTCTCACACAGTGGTGTGAAAACCTAATCATCATGCTTATGAATTACAAAAGGATCAATACACATTTTATATACGTGACTCCATGTAAGATTTTCTTCAGAAAATGTTTTCATTACCAATACATTTAAAAACTATAGTTCTAGTACATAAACTTGTGTTACCTTTGATATCAGTCATTCATCTGTTCCTCTGACTTTTTTTAATTAAGATATAATTCATGGACCACAAAGTACAGCTTTTAAAGCGTTCAATTCAGTCATGTATAGTACATTCACAAAGTTATGCCATTGTTCATCACTATTTAATTCCAGTTTGTCTGATTTATTGTTTTAAAAAATTGACAAAACAAAGTGCAGTTTCACTCAATAAATATCACTTCATCCTTATGCACTCTTATTGCAGAAAGTGAAGTCCATGATGTTAAGAATGATAATAGCAAGTTCACCAAATTACCACTTTTCAGACAGTTTCAATAACTGCAGCAATTTCCTTTAACTGTCTGTAGAAATTCTGAAACTGTGGAATTGTCATTTCAAAACACTTGTTCTTCACTTGGCCTGAATGATCTGCCACTTTTAGCATCACTGCAACATAAGGCTCCTTAAGAGATCTGCAGCTGCTGGAGCTTACAGCCATACCCAGTTTCCACTGAAAATCTGTAAGTTGGTTGGTGACCTTGGATTTGGCCTCCAGCAGGGACTCGCCTGACCCCTCCATTGCAAGCATCTGGAGCTTGCCTGGCCAATGCCAGCGGCTGACCCAATGTTCTTATTTTTAGTTCTCTCTCATTTAATCTCTTCTGGTTTTGCAATATTCTATTATTAAATGACTTAAGTTTTGGCTATAGATTCATCAAAAGTTTTAAGTAAAATAAAATCTGCAGAATTTGCAGAGTTATCTTAGTATAAGCATTCATGGTGCAACAAAGTATTATACCTGGATTCATAGGAATTAAAATTCCTGTGTTAGTTACCATGAACCTCTGCTGCTTTGGGGAAGATGTTTCAAAAGTCACCATCCAATGGATTCTCTCAGATTTTTTTATCTTTCTTTTTCTTTTCAGGTTCTACTCAAAAGCGATATTTTTTTTTACAAATCTCACATTATTCTCTTTCTTGTAAACGTTTTTTTCTTTGGTGACATTCTTACTTAATATGTATTAGTATGTACATGAGTGATAAACACGAATCTTTGCATGTTCAACAATATTTCTAGGGGCTAGCATGTGACATACTGGTTAAGGTGCTGGACTCCCATGTGGTCAACTGTGGTCCAAGTCCCAGACCCAGCAGCTTGAAACTCGTATTGGGCATATGTGCCCAAGTTCCTGAGAGGAGAATGGAGGAGGGATTGTGCTGTGGCCATTCCCCCCAGGGGGGTGATCTTTCACTTTTTCTCTCTTTCTGGCGAGTGCACAAACCCTATATCTATTCATTAAAATTTTAATTTGTGGGGCCAGCAGATGGCGTAGTGGTTACATCGTTGGACTCCTACATGGCCGACCACCCTTAGAGTCCCAGACCTGGTGACTTGAAACATGCCGGCCACATGTGCATGTATGCCCAAGATCTCAAGAGAATGGAGAAGAAGGGATTGTAGCATGGCCATCCTCCCCAGGGGAGTGATTTCTCACTTTCCTTCTCTCTCTCTCTTCCTCTCTCTTCCCTTCTCTCTCTCTCTCCAGTAAGCACACACCTACAGCAGAACCCTCTAAGTTTTTTTTAATTTGCAAGCATATTTCCAGAAATTTTTCTTTGGTTTTTCCATAGAACCATTCTTATTTTGAGAACGTAGAGCTGGCACCATAGTTTAGTGGTTAAGGGAGATCCTACATGGCCAATCATAGGGTTTTAGTCCCAGCCCTGGGCTGGCCCAGCCTTGACAGCTTGGAAGACATACTGGGTGCATGTGTGCCCCAGATCCCATCAGGATAGAGAAATGGAGAAGGGACTGCCACATGACCATGTCCCAGTGCCGGGTGCTTTCTCCCTTCCCTCTACCCTCTTTTTTCTGTCTCTGTCTTTCTCTGGCAAGTGTGCACACCCTCCGCCCCCCCGTCCCCCAAAAATGTAAAGGCTGTTCCAGTCGCACAGCAACTGCTGTGCACGGAAAGCCTAGTCCTAGATGGTTGACTATTGTTTGAATCCCAGCCCTGGTGGCTTGAAAAATATGCTGGACACACGTGTGTGCATGCCCAAAATCATGATGGAATGAAAAGATAGAGGAAAAAGGATTGTGGTGTGGTCATGCCTAATTAGGGGTTGCTCTCTCTATCTGTCTTTTGGTGAGTGCTCATGGCTACCGGCAATTAAAAAAAAACAATGTAGTAAGAATTTGATTACCTCTGAAGTTGTTAATTAGATTTTTATATTTTATACACATTAATTTTCTTTACTATAATTAAGGTATAAAAAAGTGAAAAAATAAGCAATTTAAATTATTTTAGTATATATATTCACATTTCAATTTTATATTATCTTAGTGGGATTAGAATATTTTCATTCTGGGGACCTGCAGTTGGCATTGGTGGTTAAGAGTGCTGGACTCCCAGATGACCAACTACAGTTCGAGCCCCAGACCTGGCAGCTTGCTTTCTCACCTTCTCTCTCTCTCTTTCTCTGTCCATCTCTTGGCCAAATATAAATAAAGTTAAATAAAATAACTCTTTAAAAAAAAGAATATTTTCATTCTGGATCTTGAATTAAGTAGGGTGATGCCATGGCAGAGAGAGGCTAGAGAGACATTTTATATTTTCATACAAATATAGATTGAACATTATCTTCACTGGTCATCTTTGTCAGCACATTGCTTTGAAGGTTGGCTTCTGTTTCAAATGAGATTGAAATTTTCTTCAAATATATGGCAGTTGAAAAGTCTCATGCTGGGACCAACAGGTGGCATGGTGGTTAAGGGCGCACTGGACTCCCAGATGACCGACTACAGTTTGAGTCCTGGGCCTGGTGGCTTGCTTTCTCACTTTCCCTCTCTCTCTCTCTCACTCTGTCTCAATCAGATCAAATTTAAATAAATAAGTAATTATGTAAAGTTAAATAAAATAATTCTTTAAAAAAAGAAAGAAAGAAAAGTCTACCAAGCACATATACCCAAGAGTGCCTCCAAACTACGGTCCCTACTATGGAAACTAAGGCAGATCTTTAAAAGGGCCCTGACAGCAGGTCAGAGACTGAACACCAGGATTCATCAGAGGTGCCAGCCTCATAGCAGAATGTGCCCAAAAGAAAAATCTCTTTGTGAAATTTAATTCTAGTAAAATTCACCTTCATCTTCCTTAAATTGTTTTATTTCACCAGAGCAAATAGGATCTAAATTCTCTTGGCAACTCTACTATTATGGGATATGCATCACATGCTTATTTACCTGAAAACTTTTTACTTCCAATTTAGACTAGGTTGCTAAGTAAGGGATTTGTAATATTTGGTTCACTTCCAATGAATCCATTTAAATTTATTGTCCATAATCAATAAACTACTTCGCTGCATTGACAATCCAGTACTAGAGTTAGATAATAAGTGTATTTATGAAAAAAGAAAAATGTTGCTTTGTCTTTGTAAATTGACTTTGTGTTGGAGTCCTCCTTTAACACGTGTCTAGGCCTTTTACCACTCTGCCTTATGGTCTAGCCATGGTAGCACACATGGCTGACACTGCTTCTGAACAGGTTGAGGCCACATGGGAAACCTAAATTCTATTCCCAGCCCACCCTAAAAGTCGGATGTGGTAATACAGGCTTGTAGTACCAGTAACTCAGGAGGTGAGGTAGGAGAATCACTACATAGCAAACACAAACACAACTTTGCCTCAACCTTTACTTCCTTCTGGCATTAAACCTATAGACTGGGCTAGCAGGTGGCATAGAGCTGGAATCCCACATGGCTGACCACAGTTCAAGCCTCAGACCTGGCAGCTTGAAAAATCACTCTGGATGCATGTGCATGCTTGCCCAAAATCCCAGGAGGAGAATGGAGGAGAAGGGATTGCAGTATGGCCATGCCCCCTGTGGGGTGATTTCTCACATTCCCTATCACTGTCTCTTCTGGTGAGTGCAGACAACCTAATGGCAAAAATCCTTAACAGAGAGAGAGAGAGAGAAAGAAGACTACCCAGTTATGAATACTTAGAATCTTTTTCAGTCTTAACTGATCATGCATCCTATCCTGGGTATGTGCCTGGACATGTATCTAGATTCCCCAGTATATATGGATACTTTCTAAAATCTTTATTCCCCAAAGTGACCATAATGCACATATGCAATGAACATATGCCCAGAAAGAACATTATTAAATTTTCTGCAGGTTCAAACTTCCTATTTGTTTGTTACAGAACACAAATTATTAGAAAACATTCAAAATGTCACCAAGATTGCTAATAAGGATTTTAACCTAAAATAGACTTCTCAGATAGAATACCTAGATTAAGTAGTACATGGGATAAACGTATACTGAAACATTATTTGTAGGCCTGGCCTCAGTGGTGAAAATGATGAGGCATTACTGTGTCTGTCTGGAGCCACAAGGAGGCCTGGTTCAGATCCCAGATCTGCCTGAGCAGGCTGGGTGTGGTAGTATGTGCCTGTAATCCAAGCTAACTGGGAGGCTGAGTCAGGATCATAGTGATGAGACCCTATCAGAAATACCTCTGTCTCTTTTTCCTCTTCCTCTCACTCTTTCTCTCTCCCTCTCTCATAAAAAAGTTATTTGTTGTTATCTGTATTCGTTGTTTGTGGGTATCTTATATTTTTATTTGCCAAATCTCACAGCCCTGGCCTAAAACCATCATTTTGAAGGTAAATGTTTCAAAGGTATAAGAAGTATAAATACGGTTGGCCCTTTGGGACCAGCAGTTGGTGTAATGGCTATGTCGCTGGACTCCCATGTAGTCGACCGCGGTTCGTGTCCCGGACCCGGTGGCTTAAACTCATGCCGGGCATGTGTGTGTGTATGCTCAAGATTCCGAGAGGAGAACGGAGGACAAGGGATTGAAGCATGACACACACACCCCCCGGGGTGATTTCTCACTTTCTGTCTCTCTGTCTCTCTCTGTCTTTCTGGCGAGCGCATGCACCCTATAGCAAAAACCTCACCCGGAAAAAAAAGAAAAAACGTTGGCTCTGTAGCAGAAAGTGAGCCAGGTGACCCTCCAAAATTCAGGTCCCAGCCTAGATGGCTTGAAAGACATGGAAGACAAGTGTGCGTATACACGCAAAATCCTGACATGATGGAGAAAGGAGGTGGTGGTCGGCACATCTTTTCTCTTTTTCTAGTGAATTCTGTCTCTGGTGAATGCACATGCTTTCTTGCAAAAAGGAGGGAATTAAAATCAACATTTTCCTATTTTTCATAACGACTATTGTGATTGATGATGTATATGAATACTACAGAGTGGGATTGTTTTTGAAACTATTAGAAATTATATGTTAGGGAACAGCAGTTAGCATAATGGCTATGTCGCTGGACTCCCATGTAGTCAACCACGGTTCATGTCCCGGACCCGGTGGCTTAAATAAAACTCACGCCGGGCATGTGTGCGTGCATGCCCAAGATCCCAAGAGGAGAATGGAGAAGGGATTGCGGTGTGACCATTTCTCGCTTTCTGTCTCTTTGTCTCTGTCTGTCTGGCAAGCGTACACACCCTATAGCAAAAACCTACCCCCACTCCCCCCAAAAAATTATACTTTAAAAAAATGCCTCTTGGGACCAGCAGTTAATGTAATGTAATGGCTATGTCGCTGAACTCCCATGTAGTTGACCACAGTTCGAGTCCCGAACCCAGTGGCTTAAATGAACACCAGGCACTTGTGCGTGCATGCCCAAGATCCCGAGAGGAGAATGGAGAAGAAGGGATTGCAGCGTGGTCATCCCTCGGGGGGGGGGGGGATTTCTCGGTTTCTGTCTCTCTCTGTCTTTCTGGCGAGCACACGCACCTTATAGCAAAAACCTCTTAAAAAAATGCCTTTTAAGTTTGTTTCATTGTTATTGTTTTAGAGTTTTGCTGTAGGGTACATGCACTCATCAGAGAGAGAATGAGAAATCACCCTCCAGGGGCATGGCCATACCACAGTCCCTTATCCTCCATTCTTCTCTCAGGACATGGATATGCACACACAAGTGCCGGTATGTTTTTCAAGCTACTGAGTCAGGACTCCAACCAGAGTCAGCCCTGTGGGATCCAGCTGCCTTAACCACCATGCTACCTGCTAGCCGTTCTTTTAAGTTTTAAAGTTGGAATGAAGCATTCTTGACTAGGAGTAAAGAAGTAAAACTCAGCTGAAGGTAAAAGATACTTAAATACCTTTTTTTTTTTTTTTTT